ATTTATTATTATTATTATTATTATTATTTATTATTATTATTATTATAATCATTATTATCATTTATATCATTATCATTGTCATTGTCATTATTATTGTTCATTATTATTATTATTATTATAATTGTTGTTGTTGTTGTTGTTATTGTTGCTGTTGTTATTGTTGTTGTTGTTGTTATTACTGTTGTTGTTATTATTATTATTGTCATAATAATAAAATTATATAATTTACGTATATTATAAATATGGGATTGTATATAATGAGACCATTTACCTTTCGTATGGGGATGTCACAATTTCTTGTAACGATCCAATGTGAAATCTGATAGCTTGAGTTCGTTACAAAGCTCAAGAAAATTTCTTTTGAACTTTGAGTTTGGTCAATGAAATAAATGCATCCGCTCAATTACACATCCAACTGTTAAGATTAATTGCAACCACCTTATGCCAAAGGTAAATTGTCTCATTATATACTTTTCTTGTAATAACAATAGTAACAATAACTATAACTATAACTAAAACTATTATTATTATTATCTATTCATTATCACTATCATTATTATTATTATTATTATTATTTATCATTGAAATAGTAATTGTTTGCTACCCCCAAACGGCCCATAAAAGCATAACTCTCCTGATTTCACAGATTTCTCTCACTTTGACATTCTTATATTCTCCCTCAAACTAAAACACCCATTTCCCAATCCTAGAGATCTCTCTCGGAACCTCCTTATTTTAGCAGTTAGACAGACCATCATATAATCGCTTTCTCTATATATTCTTTGTATAAATTTAAAAAATGTCCAAATTATTTACAAAATACGAAGCTGGTTCAAACTTTAGAATATTTTTATCTTTGAAATATCTTATTCCAAATAATTTTAAATTTTAAGCAAATAAAAAATATTGAGGGGAGTTGCATTAAATGTAATCACTATGTAGTTGTAATCAATCATTTTAAAATATTCCATCACATGTTTAAAGACCACAATTAATTATTTAAGTAACCACCTAAAATCATTTTAAATGTATCAAATATGGTTCAGTGGATAGATCAACATAACAAACTTTTTGGAAGAGATGTTTGAAATCCCTTTCTTTAGCTTACAAGTGGAATTCACTAATTATCTATTTTTGGCCCAAATTTTCTAAAGAAAACAATTTCTATGTTCATCCCACTTGCACATTGGAGATAAACCAAAATCCCAACAAAATAAGGCCCAAAGAGGCTTTCCTAAGAGAATTCTTTCCATTTACAATGACAGTAGTTTATAAAATGCCCAAATTTGCAGACAATAGGAGTAACCATGGTTAAGTGCCTATTCTGATTCACCATGGTTAGAGGCAGCAGGTAGAAAAGTTGGGGCCTCAGGTTCATTTACAACTGCATTAGAAGAGACAGTCACTGGGTTTCCCTCTAATTGCAGCATAATATCCCCCAAAATCTCTAAGATTAGCTTGTTAAACTCTGCTTCATTGCAGCTTCCTGCTTCATCTGCCTTCACCATCTTGAAAACCTCATTCACCACCTCATCCACCTAAAAAATCTTCCAAAAAGTAATGCATATGGAAATATGTCTGACGCCTGTGTTGCGTATTTTGGTATCGAATATGATGTTTCAAATCATTTAACACTTCTGAGATAGAAAAAATATACGAAAAACAATTTTACATAGACAGGGAATTCCAATATATATGGATTCAATGAAAACCACCAAAGAAGATCATACTACTTTAATTGAGAGAACAGATCCCCCTTGATTGACCACTATTAAGTGGCAAAAAGTATGGGTTGTGGAATCCTTACTTCTATCATGATGTCCCTGCATTTTGATTTTGGATTTCTATTTACTGACTATGGCTCTTTAACCTCTAACCATTTAAACAAACCGAATCAGACGCTAACATTAAATTTTTTGAAATTCATTATTTTGGTACTCAGAAATGTTCAGTAATGCCATAATTTTTATACCAAGTTGCACCAGAATAATTTTAAATTTTCAAGTTTTCCATTAGAAATGGATAAGCATGGGCATGAAAGGTGGGAGGCTTTCGTTCTAGTACCTCTCGAAGCACAAGGACATGACATAATGCATTATTTTCATGGCCAGTAATTGGGTAGTTTAAGATGTTTAGAGAGGAAAAGCCTCCCACATAATAAAGTTTCAAAAAAAAAAAAAATTATTGTAAGGGAATGACAGATAAAAAAAGAAAAGACAAAAAAAAGGTAAGGTAAAGTAAATTAGAACCTTGTGACATGGGCATGGAAGTTCACACACAAGGATAATCAGCGGCCAATCAATGTACTGGTGAGTGATAGAGAGAGTGGGATTGATGGATTACTGGTGACACCATATTTATGGATTTCCTGAGGCTCATTTGCAGTGGGTTAAAATAATATGATATCCTGTAATTGTTTCCAATAGCAACACTGCAACAGCAAGCTATTGTGCACAGTACAATGAAAAAAAAAAGAGTTCGAAACTCGTTCTGGAAATAATGCAAAATGATGCTTTTGTATGTCATTTTGCATAATCCAGTGATTTAGTTTGGGTGTCAACGAGTATTGATCGCCAGCACAAAACAAAGCAAATAAACCCATACTGCACTATGAGATCTCTCACCAAACGATATACAAGTTAGACCTCGTGAACATGCTAAATCCCTAGGGTATTGTAGTATCACATTAAGTGAGTTCCTAACCTTCATGCAAAAAGTATCAAACAACCAAGCCATTATGTAGGAAATCGGACAGGCTAAGGTCCGTCGGGAAATTTTCATGGACTTTGAGCACAGTCCAACTTGGGGTATTTTTGCCCTTTTGTGCAAAGGGTAAATGTAAATGGTCTATTTAAATACTTTCTTGAATATTTTTACTATAATCATGAACGATGTCTATGTTAATTATGTTATGAAAAACCTAAGTTTATGGATTGGCATCAGTGTATATTGTGTTATGAAGATAATGAAAGAAATTGTCATGCCCAACCTGATTAACAGCTCCATAGGGAGGTAAGCCAGCAGCAGGGGCAACAATGTCATAAGCAACACGAAGGTACTCCTTGGACATTCTTTCATGCCGGTCTTTGGGAAGCGATTTCCATGTGGTCTCCATGGCCTTCATTTGTAGAGAGAAATAAAGAGCAAAAGTTTAGTATGCCATCTATTCCTTATACACTTCATTTAATTAGATCTACGATTCTTTAGAATGTCCTCTATTTCTTTTACACTCCATTAATTAGTTAAACTATTCCTTGTGCATATATAATGATCTGGATAAAATGGAATCGAAACATAACAATAGTAAAGAAGGTATGGTAATGTCCATGATGTGTATTGTGCACCTTATAACAATAACCTTGCAGTGATACGAGACAGTTCATCCAAAGTCTCAAATGAAATAAATTACCACGCATTGTTCTTTCAACTTCACACACAACTTGTCTAAGATGTTGCTCAACAAAAGGTATCGCCTATTAAATAAAAAATCTGTAGTTTAGCCATTAGCAATATGCCTAACATTGTTTGCTGAAAATTGCTTTGGCTCTATGAGAAACTAATCCAGAACATTATGCTTGGTTTTTCATTAAACTTTTTTCATTAAACTTTTAATAACAATTACAAGTAACAGAAGAAAAGGGAAGACAGGGAACTCTCTCTCTCTCACACACCCACACAAACACAAACGCAAACACACACACACACAAACACAACACACACGCAACTTTTTCTTTCTCCTTTTTTATTTTTATAAAGACAGAATCTTTTATGTGGCCACAGCACCCTGCACCATTCGATAATAATGGATGGCACAAGATGCACTGACACTGACATAGTGTTAGCTCATTTTGGACAGTTCGTTATTAATAGACAGCACAAGGGACAGCGATCACATGCAACCGTGGGTGATAAAAACTTTTATCTTTATATAATACATATATCCCAATGTTCTACAATATAATTAATATAAATACGCATTAAAATTTTACCCTTCATAACTCAAATCTCACAAGAGTCCCTATTTTATTCGCAAGAGTCTCAACAAGCGAAGGACCTCAACATGACTGGAAATACCCTCAAAAGTATAATCCAATTAAAAAACATTAAAGGAAAAATATCGTAACAGTCGCACAACCCAAGAAGTTTTCTCTTTTTGTTGTAAATTTTATACATGTTTGACAGCAAAAGTTACAGTGTTACAATTACCTTGTCCAACTCATATTTGTTTGACAAGAGCCTTTTGATGCTACTTCCATCAAATGTGTTTCCACTGTGTGCAACTATCACAGGGTCCTCTTTGAGATGGAGAGCAATGCTCTCAATGACCTTCTTCAGTGACTCCACGAATCCCTCTTGGGTTACATTCCTCTCTTCTAGACAAGAGGCATTGGCTTCCAGGGCTGGCTCAATGACCTTACTGGTCACCTACAGGAATTAAACAATAAATTGAACAAAATGATTATTCAACTAGTATTTTTAGGATCAAAAGCATATTTGGTCACATTAAAATCGTAATTGTGTTGCGATAATGTTAATTTTCAAGAGAGCACAAAAGAGAAAATGGGGGAAATATATCCAAGAAAGTAATTAGTTTTCCTTGGTAATCTCAAAAGAGGCTTCTCTTTAGTGGGGCCACGACCAGGTTAGAACACTACTTTTGGAATGCTACAAAATCAGCAATCGCTTCTCAGAATGGTGAGAAAAAGGTAATTGTTCCTTTTATATTATCCTGATTAATAGCCCAATAATAAATGTGGAACACAGATGGTAAACTTCATGAATTGAAAATAAGATAAAAGAGAGAGTAATCATGCAATGGGAAAGTATAGCATCAGACCATTTAGAGTGATCATGCAAGGGGAAGTACAGAATTACATTGTTCACCTTTGTTACAAGAAAGTCACAATAGATGTGAAATCGTACGTCCGGGATGTGCCTTTGAATGTGGTCAAAGTCCAAGAAATGTTTTTTGAACTTCACATCACAGCCCTAGCCACCCAATTTCTCACCTGATGGCTGGATGTGATTGTAATTTTTCTTGTATCAAAGATAAACGTTCTTGTAGTATACAATTGCCAAACGAAATCTTATAAGGACATAGGGTCATATTTTACAAGTTGAGATTTAAGTGCATTTCAGTATTTATTAAGACAAGCAAAGAAAACTAAGGAGCCTTGGTTTCTTAAAACGTAACCCTAACGAAAAAGAATGGAAAAGATTATGTGATTGTATTACCCATGGATCTGAAGGTGGGGGCATTCCATGATCTACACTGAAATTGTGAAGGGCGGATTCCACATAGTCAAGCATAGTGCCGGTAGATTCGATTTGCGAGAACACAGATATGGCATGGGGTTCAAACCCGGGACCTTTTAGAAATTCAGACAGATCCTGACCATCGATCCTGAGGATCACTATGGGATCTCTCTTCAAACCTGCAGCCATGCCTAACAATATGTCTGATAACACTTCTTTGAATTGGCTCTTGCTCACTTCCCCGGAGTTCCCATGTGTAAATTCGCTCAGGACCTTTATGTGAAATCAGAGAAAAGCAAAGTTTAATAAGATTAAGAAGTACGCTACCTTAGTTTTGTACAAAGAAATATGGGCAAGAGAAACAATTAGCAACCCTTTGAGACACATGCATGCACATCACCATAATAAATCAAAGAACATACTACAGGCACATAGTTGGCATTATTTAGTGGTACAGTCCTTCTTCTCTCTGCAAATAAATGTTCAACTTAATCTAGGAAAGATAATAATGAGCAATACCAACTTAGTTACAAACTTATATTCTTATTATTCCAAAATGTTAAATAAGTTGCATGGTTTTAATTCCTTTATTTCTTTACTAGAGACTCCCAACCTTGATTAACTACTATGTGATAAAAAGAGTGAAAGATTTAAAACACAGCTTAGTGTGAACAATTGTTGGTTCCTTTCACAAGCAATTTCGGCATAAGACAAACATGTCTCTCAAAAGAAATGAAGAAACCACCACTGGAAAAGCCATAGCAATGTGTAACATGCAGCCAGAAACCCTGTTGGAGTTCAGGCTGCCAAAAAACAGCTAGTAGTCAGCAAATATTGTCATTAAGTAGTGGCGCACGCGAGGCCTGCCAGCAAATCTCCATCATTGTACCTCATGGCTACGTCCTTCATTGGGATGGGGTGGCAACTCCACTCTGCATATGGTGTGAGGTACAAATAGGAAAGAATCAGAAATACCAGAGTAAACAGAGGTCCACTAAAGAAATATCCCTAGAGACAAAACGTAGTTTTTTTTGGATCTCGAGACAGAGAACCCATGGATGAATCTAGAGAGAGCAATGAGGGTGGTGGAAACATGTCACAAAGATGTCGAGTCCAAAAACAAGGGAATCTCTCTCTGCATCACAAAGATTGTGGGAGAGAAAATGCACATGCTCAAGACTACTCTGGTTGGCTCCTTCTACCATCCTATAAAGGATACTGATGGACTGAAACAATAGGCACTAGAGCAGGCACAAACTGATCCGTAAAAGATCACTAAATGATAGGATTTTGTTTATTCTGAGCTCAGGGGAGGAGGCAGTCCACATCTGTAAGCAGCAAACTGGAGATTTAAAATTTTATAGTGAATGTAATGATGCCTTCCTCAAAGTGAACAAATGGACCCCGTCACTCACTTCATTGGTCCTACCCAAAGAGCTCGGTTCACAAACTTGGAGGTGTTTTTAAATTTCTACACTCAGTGGCAAGCTGATAAAGATTGATTGGGAAGTCACTGCTGCCAAAAAAACTTGGGACTCTCAGGTTTGTGGTGGAGAAAGATATTGTTGTCTTTCTCATGGCGGAGGGTCTGGACTTCATGGCTCGGCTCATAGAAGAGGGGTGTACACCAAAAATTCATGCCCATGGTGCTGGATCATGTAACATTGATGACCATGGGGACTAGTGGGTGCAAGTCACCAGAAAGAGAAGCACAAGAATAGAGGTTAACAGGTACAAAGCAAAAGCCCATGAAGAGAGAGGCTGGATGGAGGTGGAGAAAAAAAGAGAAGCAACGAGATGCGTTTTCGATCCTCTCAGTGAGCTACTAGTAGATTGGTGAGGGGTATTGGAGACCAACCTACAAGGGAAACACAGTCGGGGCCGTGAAGTAACTTGGTGGGCCACTTTGCTGCTAGTGTAAATGTGGCTAAGAACTGGAGGTCCATTTCATACTTTCCAGGACGTCACAGAAGGGAGTCAGGTCAGTAGCCGAACTCAAAGGAGATTGGAGGCTGCTAGAAGCGGGTTTTTGCACCTAAACGATCATCACAATCCGAGCCTTACCCAAACTATTAGGGGTCGGCTACAAGAATCCTGTTCCGCCACTACTTGAGGCTGTTAGAAGCAGGTTTTGCACCTGAAAGATGAGAATCTAAATTCAAATTTGGCATTTGAACCTCAACAGCAGGACACACAGCCTCCGATGGATTACAATCACCACTTGTATAGCCGCCCAATCCCAATATGTGATGATGGTCATTATTCATAGACCACAGTACAATAGCTTCATTTGACAGCTTTGATTCCAGATCGACCTGCAGGTCAAGATCTATGAGCACAATAGAAGACAGTAGTTTTGACGGCCCAGATCTAAGCATGCAGGGATCCCATAGTCAGGATTGTTGAATGCAATACTCGGTCCCTCTTCTCAAATTTTCCCCCTCTCCTAACTCATTCTTCCCCCTTGAGTAAGGAAACCCCTTCCTGCTTCTGCTGGTGCTTTAAACTGCACAATAAGCCTCTGACGAGGCACCCAGGAACAAGAGAACACACCACACCAGTCTTCTTACCCTTTTCAGTTGACAGAATGCCTCTCTGAAAGTAGTTAGAGAGCAGGACAACTCAGAGAGTCCAAAATGTGTTTATGTAAGAGTCTCAAATACTGAAAGTTGGAGGAAGAAGCCCCGGCTCCCCATCGGATACTAGTCCTCAACCATGGACATCCAGCTCACCCCAATCTCCACAAAGATGACAGACATCGCCAAAGACAATTCTGCATAAAATTGAGTTTCCTGAGGAGGCTGCATAGGTGGACATGGTTGTTTAGTAATAGGCCAAGAGGCACCTGCCTCCACAATTAACCCCTTGCTGCCACTGCAAATAGTGGAGCAACTTGAACATTGGGAGATATCCATCCGGATTGATTAGTTCAATGTAATCAAGTATACAGTAGGAACCCTTACCTTGAAAGAAGATCAAGGAAGGGTATAACTTAGGGCTTCCTACCAGGAACTCCTCAAGCTAGAGGAAATCTAAAGGAGCCAAAGATCATGGCTCAAAGACAGTGATCACAATACCAAACTTTTTTAAGTATCATCGTCAATTCAAGAAGAAAGTCCAACAACATCACATTGGGGGATCAAAATCAAGGGGTTGAGGACCAGAATATGAAGTCATAGAAAGTGCCATAATATAACAATTTAGGGCAGCCTTCCAAGCAAAGGAGAGACTGGTATTAAAACTAGATGGTATCGCCTTTGCAAGATTAACTCAGGAGAAAGCTCACTGGCTTGAATTGCCAGTTGACAATGACGAGATTAGAGAAGCTGTGTTTGGGTTGGGCAGAGATTATGCTTCTGGCAATGATGAACGCCCACTTGCTTTCTTCAAGCATTTCTGGGTGACAATTTGCTTTTGATGTTCTAAAGAATTGTTCTGAAGAGGCAGAGTCACAAATCTCTCGAAACAAAAACCAAGGCATAGAGACCCTTAAAGATATCCAACCCTGACCTACTTGGTATGCTGTACAAAATCTTGGCTAGGGTCCTTGCCACCAGATTAAGAACGACCCTTAGGGATGCCATAACATTGCTCCACTCTGCTTTTGTAAAGGAATGTCTGAATTTGAATAGTATCTTGGCTGCTCACAAATGCGTTCGCTTGTGGTACAGAGACAACATTCCTGATAGTAATTGTGAGCTGGGACTGAAGAATGCCAATGACAAGCCTGTTGGTCTTACCCATGAAAATATCGGAACACATGAGTTTTTGACAGTAGATGGAGGCAAAGGATTAAGGGTTGACTTTCCTCGACCGACTTCTATGTACTGATTTGCAAAAGGCTTCTTCAGTGCCTCCAATGGTATCAGACAGAGGGATTCATTATCCTCTTTACTTAGTAGAATGATGGACACATTAAATGTCAAGCGTCTCTCGCCGAGGTTCAAGTCTTCGGAAGGTGGAAATGTCACGTCACACCTGCAATATGAAGACGACGAAGTCATTTTTATGATATTTCTGCACAACAAATGTGTAGCCATTGGTTGTTTCTCTGCTGCTTTGAATTAGTGTTTGGCCTTCAGGGAATCTGTGAGGCAATTTATTGGGGTCAAAGAATTTATACGTCTTGCCCGATTTGTGGGATGTGAAGTGGACAAATTGTGAGGCAAATATCTCAGTCTAGACCTTTCTGTTGGTAGATCACAACGATCCATTTGGAAGGGGACCGCTGGGGGAGATTTCAAAGGGAGATGGGCCTCTGAACTGCAAAGTTCTATCACCGGGTGGCAGAATTATGCTCATCAAATTGTATTGATGAATCTACCAGTGTATCATATGCCCTAAAATCTGGCTTCCATTGCAAATGTTTTGGAAGGCCTAATGAAGATATTCCTATAGGTTGCAAAAGAGTTCTCATCTGGTTAAATGGGAGAAAGTATGTACACTTAAAGAGGGTTTCGGGATCAGAAGATTAAGATTGATAAATGATGCATCTCTCACAAAATGGTGCAAGTGGTGCCCTACAAAAACATTAGATCTGCAGTAAGTGGCCCTAAACAAATATAGGTATAGTCATTGTTTGGTTGGGGATGGTAACTGGAAGAATAATTGGCTGGCCCCTGCGCCTTGACTACCTAGGGAGTGAATCGCTCGTGTATCGCATCCCAATGATCTTGTCTCAGGTGAGGGACAAGAACGTGTCTCACTCGTGTATCGCATTATGATGTTACTGTAAAAGATCATGTCCATGTCTGTCGTGTATTGCATTCTGATGCTACTGTTTTATCTATATATTTGGGATTGTTTGGATTGCAAAGTTTCTTCTGGTCATGATCGAGCACATATTCTCTCAATTGTGCCCAACTCCCCCAACAACTCAAAAAAAGAAAAGTAGAAAAAAGAAAAGAAAACCCACTCTGACAGCCCAACCGTTCCCAACTGCCAAAGTTGGGACTGCTTCACAATTTGACTTTTGTGGCTTAAGGTGAACAACAAGGCACCTCAAAGTACAGCAACGAAGATTCATTTGACCAAATCAATGGGGCGACCATAATCTAACAGGTGGATTAAATAAAGAATTTTGGGACTAGAAGTTCGAGTGACTTTCAATCCCTCTTCAATGAGATAGTAAAGCTCCTTCCTCCTAGAAGACAGAGAACCAATAGATAGTCTTTCCTCAGCTAGTACACTAGAATATTTTTGGGTAATTCAAAGGGGAAGACGGGCCCCTATCCGTTTTTTCAAATAGATTAGGAGTTAGCCCTATCAGTGGTGTCAATCCTCCCTCAGCTAGTACACTAGAATATTTTTGGGTAATTCAGAGGGGAAGGCAGGCCCCTACCCGTTTTTTCAAATAGATTAGGAGTTAGCCTTATCAGTGGTGTCAGTGAGATTGAAAATCAGAACGTGGTAACTAGGTATAGGGGTGCTACCACCATGACCCAACCGCTTTCCCGCTAGAACACTAGAACCGAAATTGGATGGTAGCTTGTTTGGAAATCCTAGACGGGCTGGCGTTGGAGGATTGGTAAGGGACCATTGACCTACTCAGGCCCTATCCGAGGGTGTGCTGAAAATGAGGTTGACACAAAATCCATACTGCATGGTTTATGCCCGCCACCCCATGCCTGTGACTGTAGGCAAAAACGCTAGTGAAAGGCAATTCAAGCAGTGTAATACACTGGATCACACATGTAGAAACCTGCCCTTGAACCAAGTTGGAGTTTTTGATGAAAATAGAGATAAAATCAAATTGTTTAATATGTCTTTTTCTTCCTGGAGTAGGGAGATCGTAGGAGCTGACTCTCTGGATAAGGATGGAGTCACACAATCTCCCCAGATAGTCATGAGAATTTGAATTTTGTGAAGTTTAATGTGTATATTCTCGTTTTTTTTTGTATAAATTTATGTATACATTGCACATCAGATCTGCTGTAAGTAATAAAAAATGAGTTAAAATAAAAATCAATAAATAAATAAACAAACATAAATTGTTCTTTTTGTTTTAATAAGGGTTCAGCTGCGTCCTTATATATCACCAACTGGGAATTCTGCCTTACAAATTAATGAGGGTTCACATGCGTCTTTCTAATTTTTTTTTTTTCCTTTTATCTTTGCAGGAATTTTTTTCTACAACACATTTGTCCCCATCCCATTTTGAACTATGCTTGTATAGAAAATGCCGCAAAATAGTGCCGAAAATAGATCGCCAGAGAGATAAATAATTTAAAATTTTTTAAAAAAAGGTTGACTTTATGATACAGAAATAATTTGCACTTCAAAAACTCACTAGAAGACACTTAGTAGCACCCTTCCAATTCATCGCCTAGAATTCGAGATATATAGATGTAAAAAAAAAAAATTCAAGTCCCGGAATAATGCATCTTGCAATGTATTATCCAAACCGTCCATTTTCAAAATTTAAGTGTCCGTAGATCTGATTGATCTACAATTTTTAAAACTTTAAATTTGAGATGAAAATAAATTAGCATATACAAACCTCGCATGTTCTTTTAATATTATAGATTCTACTTAGGGCCTAGTTTGGGCACTCCAAATTTTGGCAGCAGCGCTATTTGTTCTCTTACACTTGTTGAAGATGAGCACACCCAAAAGGATGAAATAAAAAGAAAAGTATGTTGTCCACATCATGCCGGTTGGAAGGTTGTACAAACACTTAGAGATTTCACAAAGCCATATCTAATGGCAAAAATTAATTTTATATTTTATATTTTTATTTATTTAAATATTATATTTATCTAAAACTTGGGATGTAAGTTCAATTTTATAAACAAAATTAAATAAACATGTTTAAAAACTATTTCAAATAAAAATAACTAAAATACCCCTAAATATATTTTTGTCGGTATTTGTTTGTTCGAAATATTTTTTATCATTTTTATTTAATTCTTCTTATAAAAATAAAGCTAAAACCCAAATTGCAAATTAATTATTTTTAAACAAAATGTTTAAATCGAAAACAAACTAATTTTGGACCTTGGATAAGGTGATATTCAATCTGAATGAAGCATTCAATCTGTCTATAGCATGTGGACGCAATTATCATCATCATTATCATCATCCGAGCTTTTTCTCAACTACTTTATTTCGGGTCGGCTACAGAAATAATGTTCTGCTATCCTGTTTTATCAAAGACCATATCTTCAATAAGACCGTAAATTACCATATGTTTTAAAACTACTCCTATGTGAACGCCATACCAACCCAAAATAAAATGTTAATAAAATATTGGCCTTTATTTGAAAGGGAAAATAATGGACATTTTTAATATGACTATATCATTTTTGGAATTAATGTACTTAGCATGTCTCTACGGATTATAAGGGTCCATTTCATAGTTGACAATTTACAAGTAATTGCTGTGTTTTCCTATAAAAATTTACTACACCCATTGTATATGAGACCAAAGTAAAAACTCGCTTTCCCAACTGTTCTTGTACGGTGCCATACTCTCATGATTACATTATATACTTATAAACTCTTTTGCCACTTCAATGTATATCAAAATGAAAAAGTTAAGAACATTTTAAAAAGAAAAAAAAAGATTCCATGGCCAAGCAACCATCAAGTAATCCTTATATTTTAAAATAATTCTAATAATAATAAATATCAAATTAAATGTAATTCAAAATTTAGAAAAAAATATATGGAAGTTTGTTAACATCCAAGCTAATAAGCGCAACTCTTATGAGTGTAAACCCTTGGACCGCTTCAATCAATATCATAATATAAAAGTTAAAGAACTCTTATAAAGAGAGAAATTATTGCACGGCCTTTCATCGAGCAACCATCAAGTAATCCTTGTATTTTAAAACAATTTAATACTTAAGAAATAACAAATTAAATATAATACAATTTTCTAATTTAAAATTGAACAAAATTAGAAAAACCATGGAGATCTTCTAGCACCCAAGCTATAAGAATAATTCTTAGCCAATAACTCCATATTTTATTAAATCACCCTATTAGCTACAAAAAAATAGTCTAGATAGTAAAACTAAAGTCTTCCAACACCAAATAACCAATAAAAATGAAAAAAAAAAAAAAAAAACCAACACCAAAAAATAATAAAATTTTAGGGCCAAGAGAAAATGTCCAACCTCTCATTAACACATGGACATACCATGTATAATTGTTGCCTATTATCCAAAAGAACATCAACATAACAATAAGCGCTAAGAGGCAAGGAAACAGTATTGGCCTTCTATGGAAGGGACTTTCATTTATATAGATTGGTTAATGGACATTTTTTTTCTGTCTCCTCCAAAGTTTAAGAGTTTTAGAGAGATGGGTTTTTGATGTCGTCTCCATTGGACAAAGAGAAAATTTTGTTTCTTTCTTTTGTAGGGAAAGATTGATAGAGAGAGATGGCTAAAGAGAGGTGAGAGGTGCATGGGAGAGACATTTAAACATGTGTGAGAGAAGGAAAGTTGTTAATTAGGGGTTGACATTAAATGTCTAAAAGAGTGAGAGATGGATGACAGATTAGAAGAGATAGAAGAGATGAGAGATAACCGCATCATGTTTTTCTCCTAAAGTTTGTTCCTATATGTCTCTCATGTTCATTACCAAAATAACCAAGAGATAAGACTTATGTAACCAAATTAGCAAAATAGATATACCTAATATCCTACTCATAGACGTTCTCTTTTTTAAATATGGCTGCCTTAATCTTTTTATAAGCATATGATCTTTT